CCCAACGGAAGTGGGCGCGAGGGGAGCAGGGGTGATCACGGCACAGATTCCGTCCTACATCGCTTCGACATGCCTGGCAGGGCAGCCCGGGTGCTGCCCATGCTTGTCTCCCAGCGTCCATCGGGTGTGATGTCAGGGTAATGGACGGGGCGGAACGGAACAGAGTAAGATTGTGGGGATCGTGATTTTCATGTCGAATAATAAACATTTTATTGCTAGAAGCCGTACGAGGCCTCGCACACCTGTTCCAAGTGTAGAAATGTGGCCAGGGACGAGACCACGACGAATGAAGACTAAAGCGCGAATGGAGGATGGTGAAGGAGAAAGGAAAACCCATGAGTGGTATAATAGAAACGAAACAAGAAGGGACAAAGATCGTGCCGAAGACTGCTTCACGTTGACCTGCTGTCGTGAACTCATCCGCGACCCTAGGTAGTTGGTGCTGCCGGCGGTGTTGCTGCAGTAGCATCGAGGCAGTAGAGGCGTGTTTCACAGGCGGGAACGTCGTTTGCGGAAAGCAATCAAGGCACCAAACCATGAAAGCACCAAATCAGGCGGGCAAACAACAAAGCAAGCAAGCAAGCAAGCAAGCGTTGTGGGAAAGAGTGTGTTGTTTCTAAAGGAGTCGAAACGAAGGTAGTCGAAGCGAAGACGATACAGGATCCCCCCATCCTCCACCCATGGCGCGTTGGTATGCAAACAAGCAACGCAAACAACAAACATGCGGCAGAAAAGACAAGAAGAAAAGCAGGATCGAAAGTTTTTCGGTTAAAAGTAATAAAAGCAACAAAACAAGATCCAGAATCCAACTGGTATGGTACGCTGACACAAGGTGATGATACAGTTCAGAGAACACTCTCACACTCCCGTGAGGCCTGCCTCTCTTTCTTGAGAAAAATTGCAAACTCTTGTCAGGTTTGCCCTGCGACTTAACGCTCAAACCCATTTACGTCGTCTTGGCCGTAGAAGCAGCAAGCCCTTTGCTGATCGCTTATGATGATTCCCCGTCCCTTTAAAAAAAGGTGTTGACCCTAGAGTGTGTGCTGCCTTGGAATCCCCGCCGCCGGAAGCTAGCTTCGGACGCGGCAGAAGACGCCAAGGGTCCGCGAGAAGAGAAGGTGGTGTGGTGGTATAGTAGTCGTGAGAGTCATGCCGGGCGTCAAATGTCGTCGAAAGGCCGGCGTCGACACTTGTGATCTTGCTGTGGTGCGCCTTTAGTCGGCGCGCTTGCGCTTCCTGTTGTCGTCGCCCTCGTCGGATGACAGGTCGCTAGCGCTGCCAGGGATCTCGGAGGCGATCTGGAAGAGAATCTTGCCGTAGTGGTCGTAGTCGGTAGGCATGGGAGCGCCCATGGTCGCGTACATGTGCGGGTGGGGGAAACCGACCACGTCACCGTCGTCGATGAGGTTGAGCGGGATGGCGCCGGATCCGTGGGTGCGGGCGTGCTGGGTGAGGTTGTCGGAGCGCGAGAACTTCTTACCGCACTCGTGGCACTCGAAGGGTTTGTCCTGCGTGTGCAGAGAGCGGTAGTGGCGCTTCAAGTGCTCCTGACGCCTGAAGCGGCGATCACACAGCTCGCACTTGAACGTCTTGGACGGGTCCTCGGTGAGCGACTGCTTGCGGCCGCGTCGGCTGGTGGGGGCCGGTACGCCGTTGCCCTGGCTATCCGAGTGAGAAGCACCCGAATCACTCCTGGCGTCGGCCTCGTTGCTGCTGGTCGGGGCCTGCTGCTGCTGCGCGTGCGACTGCTGCTGCTCAGCAGCGGGGGAGGTCGAGGCGGCGGCCATGGTCACAGCGGGACCGCTGGTGGTCCTCTGGCGCTTGTCTTTGTGCGAGTCGCCCGAAAAGGCGATGGGGGCAGAGGGCAGAAGAGGGAAAGGCTCTGCCGAGACAGCAGCGGCGGCGAACTCGAGGTCCTCGGTGCACACGAAGCTGTCGAGGCTCAGGCTCACGGCGTCAGAGCTGGCGCGTGTCCTGCTCACCTGGCTCTCAGTCTTGTCGCCCAGGTTGACGAGGCCGTTGACAAAGTCGTCCTCGGACTCTAGATCCGAGAACTCCTCGAAGACGGGAAGGCCACTGGGCAGCGAGGGCAGGAAGTTGAAGTGGTTCTGAGCAGGGGCGACAGACTCGTCGACAGCAGGCAGGGTGGTGAACTCGGGCGCGATGGTGGCACCGAACTGGCCCACAGTGAGATTCCTGGGATCGCAGAAGTCGTTGTCCTCAGAGCTGACGGAGCGTGCGTAGGGCGCCGGCGAGGGAGACAGCGAAGGGCAGGCAGAGACGGCAGGCGCAACCTCGGGGGCGGGGGCGCTAGTAAATCGGGGCGAGAGCCTCTGCTGCTGCTGCTGCCTTGCGGGCTTGTTGTTGAGATAGACTGCAAAAACCCGTCAGCATGGATTTGAAAAGAGCAAATTCCAAGGCTACTCCAAACGCGTCGAAGCCAAAAAAAAAGCAGAGTCTTTCTGTTGACTTCCCGAATTGATGGCGGCCTGAAAAGTAAGGTGGGGCTGGCCGCATCCACCCGATCGTCCAAACTGTACGTCCCACAAATGCAGGCACCAAGCCGCCAAAGGGCAACCACGACCGAAGCACTTGCTTAATGTGTAAAAAAGAAAACCAAAATATTGGGATCGGTTCGTCTTACCAGGCGTCATAGGAGGGGATGCGCAGTTGGACCACTCCAGAGCAGGGAAGCTCTCGGGCGAGCAGACCTCGGGCTTGACGCCCTCGACGTTGTCGAGACCAGAGAACATGGGGTTCAGGGGCATGGAGAGCATGTCGCAGCTGCCGGGGCTGCTGATGGCGCTGCCCGAGACGGACAGAGGCGGCGTCGACGGGAAGAACATGCCCTCGCCGTCGTGGATCTCGGGCTCCAGGACAGCCGTGGGCTTGCGGGCCATAGGCTGCGGCGACGCCATCGGGGTCATGACTGACGGGTAGCTGGTGACGGGCTTGTTCATCTGTTGGTGGTGCATCATGGGGTGCGCCGGGGGCTGTGAGCAGGCAGAGCCGGGCCTCGAGTAGATGGGCGTCGAGGGCAGGGTCGGGACGACGGGAAACATCTGCATCTGGTGCTGCTGCAGGCTCGAGTGAGGCGCGAAGTGGCCGTGGAACTGTTGCCGGCTGTCTGGCCTGGGCTCCTGGCTGTAGTAGAAGAATGAGGCCGGAGCCATGGACTGAGCCATCATGGACTCCATTGTGACGCTGTTGGGTTCCGAAGCAAGGGGTCAGCAAGGTCGTCCCTCTCCCTCCCACAAGCCCGCGTGCCTGCTCGCCATGGGCCGCGTCCCGGTCGTGATGGTTGGCACCCACAAGTTGCTTTGCTAACTCTAGATGTCAGGGACTCTCACACTCCTGGTGTCTTCCTCTTGTTTCTTGTCGCGTGTATAGTAATTAAGTATAGTCGGTCGCGGTGGTGGGTGGTAGTTTGTACAGTGCTTGTCTGGTGTTGCTCCCAGTTATCGTGGTTTGAGGCAGGTGGCCTAAGGAGGGATGTTCGGTTCCGGTCTGAAGGAAGGGACGGCAGTATAGATCACGCAGGATCGGACTGTCTTAGTGGTCGAGGACTCGGGGCAGGATAGTGTTGTACATGAACTCGTCGGTCCGTGAGGCAGTCTTTTAGTGATGAACTCTCTTTGCTGAGGTTTGGAGTATATGTGTAGAGAGATTGCGCGCGGGCCTGGGTCTAGATGAAGTAGTGTCCAAGTCGAGACCAAAGGGAAGGACGGGCTCGTGAAGATATCTAAAAGAATGGCACGGATGTAAAATCCCAAAAAGGCGAGTCCCCGGAAGAAACAAGAACCGAAAGAAGGAGAAAAGCACAGGTCCCTAGTCGACAGTCTTGTCGATCGTAAAAGTGGGAAGGGAATGAGCGTAACTAGGAGGCCGTGAGGAGGATAAGTACGATTGCTCCACGACGAAGGCCAGATAAAGAGCGTGGAGAAGAGACAGGTACCGTACCGCAGCCGTGGTGTGGGCACCACCCACTGTCCCTCCCCTACCCTACCCACCACGACCAGGCCGCGGCCTGGCGGGTGCACAACGATCTGGCAGGTCCAACTTGACCGGGGGGGAGGAGGAGGGGGCAGGCGCAGGGACGGACGGAGAGGCAGGTACACAGGTACATCGGTACGTACCGCTCTGCCTGTGCTGGGCCGGCGCTAGTGCTTGGTGCTAGGCGGGTGGGCTAGGCTAGGCTGGGGGTGCTGGCACGCTGGGGAGGATGTGTGCACCAGGACTCGCACCACCGCTCCGTTACGCGGTGCGGGATCCGCAGGAGCGAGGTCACCCCAGTCCAAAGAGCGTGGTACCTAGAGAGGTGGCTGTTGTGGGCGTGAGGACCGCATGGAAGCAGGTACCTGCTCCGGACATGCACGCTACTGACTGGGTTCGAGGGAGTGCCCACCCCGGAGGGTGGTCCGCCTGCTGTCGAAGGATGGATGGGAATGGCTGAATGGAGTGCCATGGCCGACCCATCCCACCATGCATGTCTCACCCAAGCTGACAAGGGCACGGTGGACCAGGAACACTGGCACACTTGCCCTGACGGCCCACCGACCAGCACCACGCCCCCCTGGCGACGTGTCTGGGGCAAAAAGACGGAAAACATCTGATGGGGGTGCCGTGTGGGCTCGACGGACTGGATGGCGCAGCAGCACTGTATGTGCAATGCCCATTCTAATTCTGGACAGGTCGCCGGCAGCGCCGTGGGATCCTCGGCTGGGGTTGGTACCTTGGCAAAGTACTGCCCAGCCGTTGAGGCCAGGGAGGGTACTTGTCAGCCTTCTTCCATTCTTTCCATCGCTTCTTGGTCCGATTTATTCTTTATTCTGTATATCTTTTTCTGTTTCTCTGGCGCGCGCACCCCCCCTTGTCGTCATTTGCTCGACGATCCGAACAAGGACGAATGCAAACCTTGACCACAATGTGTCTGTTTGTTCGTCTAAATGCGTGCTTGGTGCGAGAACATGTGGACATGTGCCTGAATGCCATGGATAGAGCTTATTCGATGCTACCCTCCACGGGATTGTTGTTCTGATGTACGCAGATGTCCGTTTGTGAATGTCCCCTCGCAGCCGCCAGCAGCCGCAGCCGCAGGCACACTCGAACTGACTCTGTCCCGTGCAGTAGCCTGGCTGCAGGCGCTTGGTGGTGCGGCGAAGAAAAAGAGGACCAAAAGAAAGAAGGCACTTAGTCAGGAGGGTCAAGCGACAAGAACTTTGGCGAGGCCTCGATTGGAGGGGGGGCGGGAACAAGAAAGAAGGGCCCGAGAAGGAGAAGAAGAAAAAAAAAAAAGGTGGCACAAAAGTTTGGTTGCAGTAGCGCCGTCTGAGAGGATGGCGCGGTGCAAGAGATTTCTGAGCGACATCAATGGAGTGACGAAAAAAATCAGCTCGGCGAGCCAAAACAGCCTCTGGCGGCTCTGGTTGGGGGACGAGTCGTCGAGGGTGCAAATGGCTCTGTCGTATCGCCGGCCACGGTGCAGCACACCGAAATCAATGTGACGAGGTTGGGGTCACTGATGGGAGATACGAGCCGGCCACGGCGTATTGACAATTATCGCCGCCCACTTCCAAAGCCAGCCAGAGGACCAACCAAGAAGCCAACCAACCTCCAGGCCTGCTCAGGCGAGCTCCAGTCTCTGGCCAGCCCCCAGTCCCCCAAGTCCCAAGTGCCACGGGACACCGGCCGGCTGTTCCTGACCGGTACTTTTCCTGGCAAGTCGCACGCTCGATGGAGCAGCAAGATGGCTCGATGGAGCCCAGAGCCATTTCGCAGGTGGCATTGTGGATTTGAGCCTGTTCAGCGCCCATGCCAATCCAATGGGACAGTGGAGGTAGCCAAACCGGCGACGGACCAGTCGACGGGGCCGGGCTAGCGTCTGGGTTGGGCCTTTTGGGTGTCGCCCGTCACAATCTTGGGAAAAATATGCGCCACCAGCGAGCGAGATCAGACGAGGGTGGTGGCACGACTCTCCCATCGCACTAGCGCGGGTGGTCGAGATGTGCGCACATTCAATTGCGGCGCAATGGTGCAGGCAGACTCGTGTGTCACCGGGGAGGCAGCCGTCAAGATGGTGCCTGGGCGCGCTGGGCTCTGCCAGCAAATGGCGCTGCTGGGAACCAGACCCCACCTTGTCGGGCCTACTGAACGGAATTGGAAGAACGAGCGCGTGGTTAGTGCATTGCATAAAGGCGCGCACAAGCATGGCACGCTCTGGCCGACTGGTCCACATGGCCAGCGAATGGCTGTTCTGCCGATCACGACCACAGAGATGCGAGCTGGCTGTCAGCCAGTCATTGATGGATAAGCCCGGGCCCCTCCATGGCGCTCGCAGGTGATCGGTTCCCCTCCCCCTCCCTCTCGTCGGCCACTGGGACGGAGCAGAGCAGATGCAAGGTACGGGGCCAAAAAAAGAAGTCGGGAGAGAAGGAGGGTGCTGAGGGCGAGAGCTTGGTTGGCCAAGCAGAAAATCACGGCGCAACGCCCATCATCGATCACCTTGCAGCCGCGCACCCACTCCGCGACTCTGCGCGCTCGAGATCTGCCTGCTCTGTCGGCCCAACCATGGGACAGACTACCGGATTCGGATGGGGGGCCGAAAAGCGCGACAGATGTGATTCCAGAGCGGCGTTTCGCGTCTGCCCGCAGCGCTGCTTTGATGGCACAGGCCGAGACGAAGGCGATCCCCATCTAGGCACAGCCGGCGAACGAAACAAGCGGTCCCATCTCTTGGTGTGCCCGCAGTGCCTCGGTATTCGGCCACCCCCGCCCTTCTCGTCTCAATGCGTCCCCCGGCTGCCCGGTTAAGGCTCGGGGAATAGACGTGATCAGGAAGGCCTGCTGCGCGCACTCACAGCCTCGCTCGACCCGTCTCTTTATCGATAGAGCATTGAATTTTTGACATGCGCCCACACCGGGCCTGGGTTCACGAAATAAGACATGGGACGGAAGCCCAGGGCCAGGACCAAGGGCCAGGGTTTCGGGGGCCGAAGATCCTCTCGGGACGCCTCGCTTTGCCAACTGACACCGGCTCCTCCACAGAAGAGAAGCAGGAGCGTTTCCACAGCTGCTTCCAATAATAATTTATTGTGGATCCCACTCAAAACCCTCTATTTGTGAGACGCCGTCGAGTATGAGCCCGCTGGTGGTGCTCGATTTTGGCGTCGCGCAGCTAATCAGCACGCTCAAAAAGAACCACGCGAGCGATTCAAACATATTAGAAGAGGGGATAGACATGCCATACATGAGGAAGGGGATCAAGTATAGAAAAGTGTGCGTTGCAGCGGACGCGCATGAGGCAGCGGCGGGTGGGAAAACTGCATGCATCGGCGTTGTGATAAAAATTGCTCAGAGCACCACCACCACCTAGATAAATCAAGGTCATCCAGCATGCGCAATGCAACCCACCCTCACCTCCCAAGTCCTTGCGCGGCACAGACCACCACCCACCGTGCATGAGATAGGTCCACGGAGGGGAAAGAGGGAAGATGGGCGCAACGGAGGAATGGCCCAAAAGGCGGAGGTACAGCGTCGAGGGCATGGGGATGATGCGGGTGCTCGAATCGGTCAGCGCACAAACTCCCGCTCAGGACGAGGTTCAACCCTGCGGCCGGACCTGGGGCCTGTCCAGTCCAGCCCTCCCTCGGGCGCTCAGGCACCCGCGGCCAGCACGCGCAAACCCTAGCCACAGCAGGAAAAGACAGCAGGAAGGGACCAATACACCGTCAGGCGGACGGACAGTGGGCGGGCCTAGAGGGTTCGTCACCTTTTTCTTTTTGAGTGCTTTCTTTTCCTCTCAAACTTTCGGGCAAATACCGGGGATGGGAAACCAGCGATTTGACAGGTGGAGTGATTTACAGGATGGTTCGGATGAGCAACAGGATAGTGGAAGGACCAAAAGCAAGAAGAAAAACGAAAGAAAAGACGAGTTATCGAAAAGAACATGAAGCGACGAAAGCAGTTCGCTGCCAGGTCTGCTGTCTGCCTGCCTGTTTGACAGCGCGAGCGAGTCCAGTGTCTTCCCGCGCACGCACAACGCAGTGACAACCAAGCAAATGCGGGGAATCTCAACATGGAATGTCGCAACACGCACGCCTTCAACTCACAGACCAGCGCTGTTCCCTGCCCGGTGACGATGGCGTCTCGGGGCTGGGATGACATTGGACATGATTAAAAATTTCGGGACATGACGAGGATTGCACAGAGCATTTCCCCCTCACTCGATTCGACCCATGCCTTAACACAGACGCTAGCAACGAGGATAACCGACCACCCAGATTGCCAATAGATGCCCCAAAAAAGCCCCGAACGACTGGGCTGGTGAGCGCCTGGACTTTCAATACGCTACCCAACCTAGAGACTTGCCTAACCTAGACTCCCGCCACCACTCCACACCCAACCACGCAAGTCCATGACAATTGATAGAACGACAGCTGAGGATCGTGCGGCGGATGGGCTGTGCCGGTGGACGCCCCCCTGTCTTGTTTTCCTCTTCTTGTCTCCCGACAGGAGACGGTGTGCATTTGGTGCTCTTCCCGAACTGCCTAATGCTAGATTGCCAGCTCATCACACAAGCTTCATGAGTCGAACTTATCTGCACGTCAAAGTGGTGGAGTTGAGAACCCGAGTCAACAAGGCCGAGAGGGAAGCAAGCCTACTCATGACAAGCTCGGATCACAGCGCTGCCAGCTCTCTTGGGCGTGGCCGAGCATATGCCCTCACCCAAGCCTCCGCCTTTCAGCACGTTTCAGCCATCCACACAAAAGTCTCACAGCCAGTGCATAATGGCGGTGGTCCAGTTCTTTTTGCTTCTCACAAAAAGCCTCCAGAGCAGCAAACCTGGCAGATGTGACTGAACCGCATCGTGGCCCGTTGTGGCATATCTGGCACACCGCCTTGAGGTCCACCTACCTTCTTGGGCATTCTCCCTACATATAACACGTCCAGACATACATATTTTCCCCTCCGCGAATGCAAGGTGGCTTGTGCTTGTGCATGAAATAGTGGAGGATGAAAGCATCGCTGGGTGTTACGTCGGGCTGCCGCTCCCCAAGACGGCAGTCAAGATCGAAATCCAACCAAGACAAAAAAAAACAAAAAAAACAAAACAAGAAAACCCCTCAAGTATTCTTTTTCGAAATGGCCCAGCGGGCGCGCGGAAGCAAATCCGAGGCGGTGGGAAGACACTTACCTAGATCTCGTATGTACCTAGCCAAGGAGCAGGGGTACCCCTCCCCTGGATGGCATCCTCCATCGTTGCTTCTTCTCCATCCGCCGCCGGTGGCCGGCCGATGTAACTGGTCGGGGATGGCGGGAGATGGGGCTTGGTGCGGATCCCCTGGATGGGGCACGCCAGCCCACCAGAGGAAGAAGAGGAGAAGAGGAAGAAGGAAGCCGGGGGGTCGAGCACATACCAGGCTGTTGTACTGTGTACCTACACCGTCGCCCTCGGCGGATGATGCACGGAAAGAAAAGGTGATGTGCCAATTTCTCGTGCCTTGCAGCAAGACTCTATGAACTCCTGCAGGTACGAAACAAGCCACATGCGAAATGTTGGCACACATCACAGGCTAAAAGGACGCGGCAGCATTTACCGCACACGACCAACAAGGCACGACGACGCGTCGGCTTGTTTTTCCCGGGCCCTGCTGCCTCCCTTCCCCGGGCTGTTGGTAGCGGACATGGTCAGAGCCAGCAGCCAACCTCTTTTGGGCGTGTCTGTGGCAAGACGCTTGAGGCTTGACAGCCCGCCATTTCCCACCACCACCACCACCCCAGACCGCATGAAAGTGGCCGTTATAGGGTCCCCACCAGCGCACCAACCCTGGGACTCGAAGGGGACGGGGCCGGCGAAGCTGGTGGGCCCCCGTGAACGGTGCAACGTCGTGGACTTGTGGGCTTCCTTCGTCGGGCCCTTCCATCTTTCAGGGCACCAGGAGGGTGCCCCCTTCGAGAGTCAGTATCCCGGTCGCCGCGTCTTTTCCAACGCGGCCGCGTGCGAGGCGGCCTGGGTGGGAGGTGAGGGGGGGTGGGCTGCGACCTTTCTCCGCCCGCCTTGTTGCTCACTCTCCTCCCCCCTGGCCAGCTCGCCTTGCCTGTTACGGTGACGACCTCAAGATGGGCCCATCCAAGACTGCTTGCCATGGGAATCAAGGTCCCCTTCCCACCGAGAGCAAGTGCCGCCGGGCAAAAAAAATCGCCACCCATGAGGTTTAGCCGGGCCCAGAACAGGTACCACCTCGTGGCGTGGAATTTCTACGAAGCGACTCTCTCTCTCTCTCTCTTTATCGCCAAGATAAGCAGCCAACCCCTTCCGACCTCGTCCTTGGGGCAACGTTCAAAACATTCGGATACAAACACCAGGAGGACGAGACAGGCGCGTCTCCTTGAATGTGGGGACCTTGTTCCATCATTTTATTCCAGCAGCAGCAGCAGCCTCACCGTCTGCTGCTAGCAGAAGGAGTCCCGATATTGTCGATGGGAGGGTTGCCCCCACAGCTCGGTCAGCTCAGGAAAGAATGGCGCATTGTCGCGTAGTCCTAGATGCCAATATTGCGCCGTTCGCGTTTTTTTTTCTTTTTTTTTTTCTGGCGCCCTGGTCCGAACCGTTTCCCACCGGGCCGCGGCTGACGGTCTGGTGGAAGACGACGGCCGGATAAGGTTCCTAAAGACATGGGTCCGTTTTCTGGGATTGCCAGGGCCCCCTTCTGCCCAAGTCCCCGGATTCGCCGCCTTTCTAAGGTTGGTCCGACCTAGAAAAACAAAACGAGGAGAACATGGGCGGGCCTATTGTTCCTAGGCCGCCGCCGCGCTAAAGGACGTCGCAGATTTGGACGCCGGTGTGCAATTTGCCCTGGCCCGCTTGCAGTGGCCTAAGAAAAACAGGCTGAAAGTCTGGTTTCCTTCTCGAAACGATCCCTCGCCTGGGCGGGCTATTGTTCCATAGCCTGGTTACAAGGCGGGCGTACTTATTTTGTTTTGATTTTTGCGATATTTTCCCCGGCCGTTTGCCTACATTTCGATCATCGCCCCGTTGGTTGCTTGTCCCATCTCGGTTCATGCGCATTTCCCCCTGTCAACGGCGTCCAGAAGAGATGGTCCTTGGCCGTGTGGGCGGCCATCTTTGCCGACCTCCCTCTCCAAGAAGGGCTCCAGGCTCCTCCCAAGGCAACACACGTGGGGAACGTTTCAACGGATAGACTCCATCCAAGTCTGCAAGACCCCACAGCCTACGTCCGTCCGATTGGCCCCAAGACAGAAGCCCCTCCACTCTGTCGATATCCACAACAAAACTCGTGCATATTTGCTTCCAGAACGTTTCAGCCAGGCGGTAACCACGGGAGCTGATTGTCTTGATCACCATGAGGGGTCTTCTTCGGATGGGGCTGCCGCGCTTCTTGTGGCGATCGTTTGGACGGATCAGTTCACAGGGCCGGTCTCATGTTGATGGGCACATCCCGTTGCTAATATTATCAGAAGCCCTTGGGACGAACTGTTTTGCAGTTCTGTGCATTGTACCGTCGAGGTTGGACTGGACGACTATTCTCCGATCATTACCAAGCAAGCAGCCACAACGACCACCCTTGACATCCACGACAAGCGCGCGAATGCACACTAGGTTTATCCACCTTCCCAAGTCGGCCGGCGAGATAATGGCTGGGGCCCGGGACGAGCCCGTTCGTCCACCGCTGCCCGCGGATGTGCATCACGACATCCGTAGAGGGCAAAGGCCCGTCACCGAGTTTTTCCTGTTGACGACAAGCCGAAGTAACGCTGGAAAGCACATGCAGTACTCCGTATCTTGCACACCGTTCCGTCTGCACAGAGGGCGTCGCCAGCCTCCCCCCCGTGGAGCCGCTTCCTGTCAACATGGACTGACTTTTTGTCGGTTCGGCGAGTCAAGTGCCCACCCTTCCACTTCCACGCCCTTCCCCCCTCCCCGCGTCGCCGGTAGATGTATACCGACCGACACCGCCGTGGCCCAAAAAGTCTGTTCCCGGCCACTGCTACTCTGGGACACTGGTAAATTTGCGGTGGCCGGACGGGGTGGGTCCCATTGACCACTGCGAAAAGGTGGACCCTGGCTTGCGTAAAGTTCCCATATCAGTGGCAATCCAAATCTCCGTGTACGAGACGCCACCATCGCGGGGATGGATGGTTGGGCGACATTTGGAACCCCTCGGTACCATCGGTCAAATGCCACTTTTTCCCACTTGCAACGTGCTACGTAATAGATGACATGAGACCCCGAGGTATGAAGCCCTTTGATGTGTAGGAAGGTGTGTCGACGGGGAGGGAGCAATAACACGGTGGATATTATAGGTCGTTTGCGTACTATAGTATAGGATCAACCCGTATCCGAGCTATTTTACCAAAAAAGTTGTTTGCCTCGGCAAACTCCCCCAACGCACTCTCATCCCCACCTAGTCCTCATTAGGCAGGTTGTTGGCAAAGCTAGATGCCGACGTGTTTCCGTGAGGATCGAGGTCAGTCTGCTTCGAGGGATGTTATTGGGTTTCGGGGAGAAGAGGCAAGAAAGAACAAACCCAAAAGGCATTGTGTGATACTGCACCGCGGATCTGCGTGATTCAGACAACCAACAACACATCAAGAATGGAGGGCAGCCACACAGCAGTCATGGAGGACCAAGCCCTCCCTCTTGCAGATCGGCCGGGGCAGGTACGTAGCAGCTAGCAGTAAGAAACCACGGCACGACTGCTGGGTTCGCTCACCAGGTCTCTCCCGTCCTGTCGTCGCATGTCACGCAGATGGTGCCCGGAACGAACGTCCCAAGGCACCAACGCACGCGGTGGACGCACGCAGGGTCCCGTCCCTGACCGCCACTCCAACCAGCCAGCGCACCCGTCCGCCCGCCCGCCCGCCCGCCTGCCTATCTGTCTGCCTTTCCCCCCATCTCCCGCGATGCAAGATATGTTGTCTCGCGTATGCAGTATTGTATGCACGGTGGCCAAGGTTGCCCTCCTCCTCCTCCCCCTCCTCCTCCCACCGCCTTGTGGGACACGTGCCGAGGCGGGGATGCCAGTCATGGACAACGCACGTTCCCCCACGCAAATCATCACCGCCTGTGCGCGCCTCGAACTCAAACTCGAGTTCGAACTCTTCGTCTCTCCCCCGCCCATCGCATTGCGGACTCGTGATGACCAATATGCGCGCGATGGCGCATGAGCCGCGGGGGACCGCTGCGATCTAAGCGCAGGGAAGTGGGCTTGCCCCCCGTGTTGAAAGCCAAAACAACAACAACACGCGCGCGCATACAAGTGCACACCGTATCTTGATCAGGGCGGGCAAGGCGGGAGTTGGATTACGAGACATTTGATGTGGTCATGTTATGCGTTCGCCCGAGGTTTCTCCAGCGCTCCCTGTTTGTTTTGTTTTTCTTTTCCCTTGCGGCATCGGTGAACGAAAGGAAAGCTGGTCGTGCTCGGAACACAGGGAGAACCTAAACAAACGGCCCAAGCCAGTTCTGCGAACAGGTGGTTTGTTCACTCTCTTCTCCCGCTCCTCCCCCTCAAAGCGGCATTATGACCGACGTCTCCTCTCCCTCCAGACGTTTCGGCCAGGCACGTGCCACGTCAGTCGGGGAGAGGCTCTCGCGAGAGTTTTGGTGACGGGGAGCCGCGGTGGCGAGAGCCGGGGCTTCCCCTGCCGCGCCCGTGTTTGCTTTTGAACGACGGGTCATGCCACGATGCTTGCCCACGCATCAAACCCAGCAGCCCGCGCGCGCGCGCACGAAAAATAAAAATAAAAAATGAAAACAAACAACGGGCGGATCGGCATGGGGAGGGGAGGGGCATGTCTGCCACGCCTGTCCATGCCCGCGGGCGCTGACGAACGTGGGTTTGCCGTCATTGATGGGCCGCCGGGATGATCATGCTTTCGCACTAGGGGAGGGGGGGACGAGGAGTCGGAATGATCTGGCTGTCAAGTCAAAGGTCAAGGAGAATCGTTCAACACCATGACCTTGCTGGACACAAAAAGTGTGGGGCCGGAGTGGGCGGTGGACGTGGCGGTCGCATAAACGTCCATACCAGCCCGCGTCCTGTAATTCTCCTTCGTCGCCCGCACGCCCGCCGGACCGTCCTGCCCGATCCAGTCCTCTCCTCCGTCCGGCATGGAACCCTGACGTTCGATCTTGCGGTTTCAAAGGCGTGCGGGAGGAAGGGAGGGAGAGTGGGCGTGGGGCTGCTCCTCGCCGTCTGGTTGGCGAGCTGGTCGCCCTACGGCCGCGCCCTACACTCCATACCTGTGCCGTTTTGATGTTCATGGGTACCTGGGTGTCTGTTGTTGTTGCTGTCATTGTCGCACATAGCCTCAGCCCGGCTCGGGGGGGGATGCCCTTGGAAGCGCGAGAGCGAGGAATGCGGCCGAGCCTCCTCTCACTGGCTGGGCTCGATCTGGGGGAGTCATCGAGTCAAAATGCTGGCCGGGGCAGGACCGAACGGGGTCGCCGACCGATCAACATTGACGCCTCTTGGCCAGTCAAGAAAGAAAATACAAGTCAAGAAAGCGCGGGTGGGGTCTGCAGTGGCGGTGCTGAAATGCGTGGAGCCCTGTGGATTCCAGTGAATCGACGCCATGCATGACAGAATAACAGGAAAAGCAAAAAGCAACGGCGGGGAGGCAGCCAGCACGTACCCGCGGGCTGCCTTCGGGAGGCCCCCCAACCAGCTCCAGGATCTTATCGGACACGGGCGAGAGCGCACATTTACGTGTTACTTGGTTGCCTTGCCGGGCTCTCGGGTTGCTCGGACTAGCTGGACTACCACAATCGAGAGGGGGATTATACTAGATCGTAGGGCTTGCATGCGCATGTGGAATGATCCATCGCCTGCACGTGGTCCTCTTTGGGCCGAATGAGGTGTTGCGGCGAGGCAGACATACGTTCCGAGGCAGGATGGGAAAGCTGTCTGTCGGAACGAGCCAAGTATCATATCTAGGAGTGTGTGACTGGATAAATCGAGGCGTGGGACTACATTGCGATGGTTGAACTGGTAATAGATCTGGTGGGTTTTCGAAAAAGGGTCATCCCTTATGATATCTGTACAAGATATTCACTGGCCGCTAGACAAAGTCAAAGGGTATGATGGCGGCACGAGTTTACAAAAATGTATTGAGAGAACCTTACAGATTGAACAAAATGATCTCGATATAATGAAACCATCAACGCCAGTCCTGTAATCGTGTGCCCTTCGTCCCTGTGTATATGCAACTCCTCCATGTGAACACGCAAGTGGACATCTCAACACCGGTCCACTCGTGCCAAGGAAAGGTCGCTATATCACCTTTCGCCTTCTCCTCTGTTGCGTAAAATCCCCCAAAGACCTCCAAAACTCGCAGCGGTCAACCTCCTGTGTGGGTATATCCTCCATCCCCGTGTTGGCCGTCTCGATCAGCAGGCGGGAGCGGGAGAGGGAGGGAGAGCCGCCGGTGCCGTTCCGCGTGCCGCTCGCAGGGCCGCCGCTGTTGTTACGCCACCCTCGCGCAGCCCACGGGTGCCACACAGGCGCACCGGGATTCCTGAGCGTGTTGGGCGACAGCGTCTTGACGAAGGAGATCCAGTAGTCCATGACGACGGGGACGACGCCGCTGTTGTACGTGTAGTAGCTCCTCGGGGCCCCGTACACGCCGTCCGGGCCGAAGACGGCCGGGATCTCGAACGTGTGGGGTACCCCGAGGCCCGCGCGGACGGAGTCGTCGTCCAGGACGTTGTAGCGGTACGCCCAGGGGCCCGCGTCGGGTGACGCTTGTAGGGGCCGGTTGTCGGCCACCTTGGTGAGCGAGTTGGACGACGGGAACGCCGAGGCCAGGCTGTCGAGCACGTTGACGGTGGGGCAGATGAACACGCCCTCGCCGTAGGCCCGGGACGTGGACGGGAACCATCGGTTGTGGTTGGGCAGCGCGTCCATGAGCGGGTATCGATCTTGGATGCTGTCGAGGTCGGCCTCGCGCAGCCGCGGGAAGTTGTTGCGCATAAAGGTGCGCATCTCTTGCTGGGACGCGGCGTTTGCGCCAAAGTAGGAACCCTCTGAGCTGCATCGTCAGTACTTGATCACGCTGAAAGGGCCTGGAGATGGCTTAGGAGGCCGGATATGAAACGAGCATGGCATACCGTCGGTGTCGGTACCGATAATCAAAGGCACTTGGACAAACTCTTTCCGCTCAAACATGGTATAGGGGAGATGCCTGATCAGGTCACCGTCAACGCAGGGCGTCCAGTAAAAGAGGGGGAGTGGCGACTGCGACTGGCCGGGGAATGGGGAGGCAACGTTGGCCAGCTGGAGCTCGCCAGTGCTCAAACCCCGGAGGCAGGCCACGCGGTCTCCGTCCTCGGCCGTATCACAACCCACGCCGCTCGCGAGCCTGTCAAACTGCCACTCGAGGCCCGAGAGGTAGGGTTGGGCTGGGAAGAACAGCGACTCTATAATACCACCGACAAAGAGGCCTTCGTTCCGGCCGCCGTATGCCGTCAACTGCATCGCTATCGAGCCGGCCCCGGCGGATGCCCCCGAGAGAACGACGTGATCCGGGTCTCCTCCGAACTGTCAAATCCAGACATGTTATCAGCCGGAGTGGAAATGTAGTGTGTGGTCGAGGCTTAAATCACGGCGCGACATGCAACGACGCAGCTGCCACTCGTGGGGAACTTGCCTTGGAAATGTGCTTCTGTACCCATCGCATGACGAAGCGCTGATCGAGGAGGCCGACGTTCAAGTCGCCGTCTTTCTTGACCTTTTCGCTTGCTAGAAACCCGAAAAGCCCAACGCGGTAGTTGAAATTCACAAACACGATGCTCATGTTGCTCCGCCGGACCACCTCCTCGCCATCATAATTTGCATTTGAATTGGCAGTGTAGCCTTGAGCCTCCTCGTAAGCACCTTGCAAGCAAGCGATTCCATCTGACCAGAAGGTCTGTTGAGGGCTAGGAGGAGACATACCACCGCCTTGGATGAACAACCATACTGGGAACTTGGAATCCGGTGCAGCATCTGCAGGCGCCCAGACGTTGACGTAGAGACAATCCTCATCCTGGTCATTGTTTGGATAGGTGGCTCCGGTAGAGAGGCAGACTGGGCCAAACTAAACTCGGCCTCGTGTTTACACACGTTGACTTAGACACATACACCCATACTCCATGGCAGCCCCCCACAACCCAAGGACTCGCACAAGCAGAGCAGCGACGCAAAACTCACGGCCTTGGCCCTCGTGGGCTTGTTCTCGTTCTCCGGCTCAGCGGGGGCCCTCCAGCGCAGGTCACCCAGGGGCGGGCGTGCGTAGCGCATGCCCCTGAAGACGTTGACGCCGCTCTCGCGCCGGCTGCCGACGTACGTGGCGTAGCCCAGGTCCACGGTCGGGCCGCTGAGCACCTCGGGCCAGAGGACCAGGCCCAAAACCAGACCCATCAGTGCGGCGATGGAGCCGGCGGCGAAGGCGAGGATGAGGATCTGGCCCCTCCGCCACTGCCGGCAAGGTGGGTCGGCCATCAGGCCGCTGCCGCCGCCGGGCGCCATATGTGTAGCCTGCAGGTGGGGTGCGCGGGATGAGGCACAGAGAGGCTTAGGCTTAATGGGGTGCCTCGCTACCTCGGCTGGTGTCATGGCATTTTTTGTTTATTTTTCCAAGTGCGTTGCGGGGAGAGGCTCAGACGTTATTTATTAGGGCGCAAGCCAACGACGCGGTAGGGATGGTCATCCTAAGGGGATGGATGGTGCTTGGCCGGCCGCCGGCTGCGGTTGGCGGATCAGATGCGCAAGGCTGGGCGGCGGTGGGTATCATGACTGGGTGCTTGGCAGTTGTGAGACAGCCCCGGGTGCGAGGGACGAGGACTCGAAGAGGAAGAGAGGAGTTGACCTCAAATCGACGAAGAAAGTAGCATCAAGAGTTCCGTTTGATGATTTCAGACCATCACAGTTGACAGCAGTCCCGCAATCTGACTCTGGGATTGGTGTCGTGAGGGTGTCAGGTGTCGTCAGGTGTCGGGTGCATGTGTTTCTGCCAATACTACATTTCATCCCAGGATCAACCATGAGGCCGTGGAACCCATGGGGCCGTGGACATGGAGAGAGCAGGTGCGTTGGTGAAATTTGAAATGAAACAGATTCTTTCTTTTCTTAACTCGCAGCACCCACGCCTGTGACAATTTCAATTGCCGTCTGCAAATTGCCGTCTGCATCCGTGGCAGCCCGAGGTCTCACCAGAGAACAACACGCAACCTTTTTATTATTGTAAATGCCGTGTAACCCTTCGGCGAACAACGTATGACGTGAAAGCATACCGACCATATAACCGAATCCTGGCTATCGGAGCGTTTTCATTCGAATCCGTGATGCTCGTAGAGCCTGGACTGACTGGCTGCAGGTCCTTGACCCTCCTGGGTTCCAGCGCAGGTGGCTGTGGGGGTCATCGATCCTCTCCAGCCAATCCCAACCCGTCGCTCTACAGGCGAGGGCGCGGGCCATTTAGACCTCGGCCTGCCAAGAGGCCGCTAACCCCAAGCGGTCGCTTCTCAATTGCTAGGCGACATCTCGGCCAAGAGCGCCAGCGCGTCCCATCGTCTGCTCGTTGCAGGTCCATGTCGCCCCAAGAACATTCGGCACCCCTCCCCTGCCACCATGCCCGCCACCTCGTCCTCGTCCTCGTCCTCCCCCGCGCTGCCGAACCCTGCCTCGCCCTCCGCACCAGGTCGTCCCAAGTCCCAGGACGACCGCCCGTCCGCTGTCAGCCCTCGCATCTCGTGGTCCAAGCAGCAGAGGTTGCAGGAGATCCTTGAGGTCAGAGCCCCTCCAACCGCATAGTGCGCTCGAGCCGATAGCACCCACAGCCCCCCCACGAGAATAGCCTCTGACACACCCACACACATACGCACCTGTACCGCCTCTCCTGTACAGATAGGCCAAGCGCGCGCCGAACGCACCCGCAGCTACACGTCCGAGCCGAGCCCGCGGCATCAGGCCGACCCGGCCACCACCCCCCACCGCATGGAGCCGCTCCTCAGCCGTGGCGGTGACGGCGCTAGTAGTGAAGACGAGGGCGGCGGCAGCAAGAGCAGGCGCGAGACGAGGAGGGCCCCGCTCAACTACCAGACTACCACCGCCGCAGGCGCGGCCGGCATCGACGGCCGGCAAGACAGCAGAGGCGGGGGAGGCGGGGGAGGCGGGGGAGGCGGCAGCCAGGCCAGTTCGGTTTACCGGAGATCCAACGCGGGCCGCGGCGAGAGGGGTTCGAGTCCACAGCCCCCGACAACCGCGAATAGCAACAGCACGCACAACGGCACTGCTGGCAGCGGCGTGATTGCGTGGTTGAAAAGTACTCTTTCTTCATTTGGGTCCGTCGAGCTGGAAAACAAGGGCAGCGTTGCCCGAGATCACCTGGCGCTAGGTAATTACACGACCACCTCGCGACTCCGTGCAACGACTCCTTGGTTATCACTCTTTTATGGATGGAACAACTACCTCGAAAGGCACTCGCTGTCCCTACAACCACCGCACTACTGACTGCATTGGCTGCCCTAGAAAGGACGTTCCTGGCATGGCTGCGCACGTCGGTGTCGTTCGCGTCCATCGGCATCGCCGTGACGCAGCTGTTCCGGCTGAGCACGTCGCTCAACAACGGCGGGTCGCCGACCGAGTCGCAGGAGCAGCTCCGCAAGCTGGGCAAGCCGCTCGGCGCCGCCTTCCTGTGCGTCAGTATACTCATCCTGTTCCTCGGGTACGCCCGCTTCGCCCGCGGCCAGAAGTGGATCATGGTCGGCAAGTTCCCCGCTAGCAGAGGGACCGTGATGGTCGTCACCCTGCTTACGTTTGCCGCCATGGTGGCGTCGCTGGCCATCGTGCTCGCCTTTGCGCCAGGCGGCGTTGACTGACTGTTCCTGCTCCTTTAAACATTTGCACTTTTGGCGTCTCGTGGACAAGGGGGTATGGTAAATATGTGTCCATTTTTACTGGTTCACGCGTTGGGTACTTCTATTCTGTCTCCATTCGGGATTATCTCGGCTGGGTCGGTATGGTATATCGTGACACGGTTCAGTAATGAGTAATTAAATCACGACCGAGGCAGCCTGAGCCTAGCCACGTCCAAGGTCGAGCTTCAACATATTTCATAACAATAGCAGCCCCGCAGCATCAATTGCAGCAGGCGCGATATTTCCAGGCGGAAGCCGAGGCACCAACACACCGAGGCTTTTAGTTACAGGCGACCTCGGTGGCTGTGGCTTTTATTGGAGACATCAGGCCATGTCCGCTGGGAAGGAGCGTGTCGAATGGCGGGCACGCTCTCTTGGATGCCACTCTTGGATGCCACTCTTGGATGCCACCTGACATTACTGTGGCCCTATCGGAGCTAGTGCTACGTCATCACATGCTCGTCGCATCCCATAGCAAATCAACGCGATGCCAGAGCGCGCCCGCCACTTGGCTCATTCCAAAACCGACCCTTTTCCATGCCCTCACCCACCAGTACAGCTTTACAGCACAGTACACCAGAGACGCCCATCTGCACATCCAACAGCCGGCTGTCTTCATTTGATGCCTATTTTGCACGCCGCCGACCATGGCAGCCGGACCACGAACGCCTAGCAACGGGAACCGCGCAGGCGGGGAGGAACCAAGGCTGGAATTGAAGGACGAGGACTTTCCCGCCCTCCCCCCGGCGCCCGCGTCGCCCGCCGCCAGCCCGCCGGCGAGCACGACGGTGGCGGGTAGCCCCGGGCGCAAGGACGGGGCCTACGCAAAAGACTCGTCCTCCGAGGGCGGCGGCCCCTGGGCCCGCCAGCCCAGCAACAGCAGCAGCAACCGCCCAGCCAGGAAAAAAAGCCACCACCACGGCCATCCTGGCCGCCACGGCAAGCGCTCGACCGCCGCCGTGGCCAAACGCGGCGTCCGGGGCCGCGGCTCGCCCGGGTCCTCTGTGGGCTTCGGCGACGACCTGGACGAGCGGTCGTCGTCGTCGGACGACGAGGACTCGGAGGAGGACGAGCGGCAGCGCGGCTGGAGGATACGGCTGGCGCCCTGGAACACGCCGCTGCACCGCCGGCTGCAGACGGCCGTGGTGCTCCTGCACTGCCTGGGCATGGGCCTCACCTTCTCGTTCTTCTGCTTCCTCTGCACCATGCCGTTGCTCTGGCCCGTCCTCGTCGCCTACTACTTCGTCTACGTCTACCTCTCCCAGGCCGGGACCGACGGCAGGACGGGCCGCCGCGTCGACTGGCTGCGCAGGTCGCGGCTCTGGGTCCACTTTGCAAACTACTTCCCCGCCAGGCTGCACAAGACGGCCGACCTGCCGCCCACGCGCAAGTACATATTCGCCGTCCACCCGCACGGTATCATCTCGCACGGCGCCTGGGCCGCCTTCGCGACCGAGGCCCTCGGCTTCTCGGCCAAGTTCCCAGGCGTCACCAACAGCCTCCTGACACTCAACGGCAACTTCAAGACGCCCTTCTACCGCGAGTACCTGCTCGCCATGGGCCTGCTGTCCGTCTCCAAGGAGTCCATCACCAACGCCCTGACCAGAGGCGGCGTCGACGGCGAGGGCATGGGCAACGCCGTCTCCATCGTCGTCGGCGGCGCCCGCGAGGCCCTCGAGGGCCAGCCCCGCACCATGCGCCTCATCATCGAGCGCCGCGGCTTCTGCCGCATGGCCATCCGCACCGGCGCCGACCTGGTGCCCGTCCTCGCCTTTGGCGAGAACGACCTGTACGCCCAGTGGGGGCCCCGCGACCACCCGTGGTTCCACAGCATGCAGAAGAAGGCCCTCGCCCTCCTCGGCTTCTCCGTCCCCGTGCTGCAGGGTCGGGGGGTGTTCAACTACGACTTTGGCATCCTCCCCCACCGCCGCCCCCTCAACGTCGTCGTCGGCGCCCCCATCAAGGTCCGCCAGGAGGGCCGCGGCGCCGACGACCTCGAGCGCGAGACGGAGAACCTGCACAGGATTTACGTCCAGAGCCTCGAGGACCTGTATCACCGCTACAAGGACGTCTACTTTAAGAACCGTAAGGAGGAGCTTGTCTTTGTGGATCGGAAATGAGCCCCGCTCCCCTCTTTTGGCTATTATTTTCTTGTCTACTTTGTAACAACATACCCTGTGGTTTTATCCCCCGTTTTTTTTTTTACGTCCTTTCTTTATTTTTTACCGGCACTTCCATTTTGTCCGTAACGTTGGGCGAGGATGAAAATCGGATCTAGACTATGCTCATGGGCGCCTGCTAAACAAAACCTTGAAGTAAGCACACTGGATACAGACCTAGCACCGATTTTTCTTTTTGGCGTAATGAGAGAGAGGCCCATTAGAGGATACGGCGATGCGAGAATTTCAGACACTGGCAATGCAACATCCCTCCGCGTGGGCGTCTGTGTAAGAGGTCCATTATGATCACCGGGCGACACTCTTGGAGGTTTAAAGTCTACCACCAAAGAAGACTACAACACAATATGAAAAAGGGCAGTGGCCATCAGCAGGTGCGCGTCCTTGATGGGTAACGAGGCAGTGAGTGCTGCCGGCTGGTGATGGGTAAATATAATACACTTTGTTCGGCCCAGATTCACCCCTTGAACAAACAAAGGTGTTAGCGAGCGCGAGAGAAAGGCAAGAAAAAAATGACCAAGGACGATGGTAGCCAAGGGAAGGAACGCAGGCAGGCAGCCGTCATGAAAGCATAAAGAGTCGACATCTAGGAAAAGGGAAAAAAAAAAGAAGGTAAAAGAGAGAAAGAAGTTGAAGAAATGACGAGCACAAAAAACCTCCGAGGCCGCTTCTCTCTATCTTTCCCAATAATTCTTTTCCCCGCCCTTCCTCTCCCTGATGCAAGATGGACAAACACCCCGTGGCACACACGGGCTGGTGAAACGAAGGAAGCGCAGCAAGTGAAAAAATAATGCTTTAAAACGAGCCAGATGAGCTGGTAAAAAAAAAAAAAAATGGAGATAGATCCAGGGATCTAGGACTGGCCTAGGTAGACAGGCGAGCGGGCACGGAGCCTGGCCTGTTACAGCTGTCTTGGCCAGCCACCAAAATCTGTGCTGCTTTTTTTTTGGTTCTTTTTCCTCTTTCCCGTGTCCTTTTCCTTTTTCTCTCTTCGAGAATGGTTGCTCTTGTCCCCGTGGAGGTCGGCCCAACGGGTGACCCACCCGTTCGATTGTTTAGGCAATGTTAGCAAAGCAACGTTCCCATCCGTCGGGTCCTCACCACCCCCTGGTCACTTTTTCCTTCCCTTCCCCCAGTTACGTCTTAGAATATATGTCGGGGCAGTCAAGGTACCGATGCGAATCGGAAGCATTGCTGCCCGTCGGTTCGTCATGGAGAATTACATTAGAAACAGACAGCGAGCGCCAAGCAAAGACTCTGGTTGTCAAGGATGGGGCAGCCTCCCCTCCTTCTCCTCGAGTCCCCCGTCTCGTGTGTCTGGAGTGGATCTGGTTTTCTCGTGAGCCAATACATCGTGGAGGCTCTCGTGGGCACGCCCAAATGGCCTGGCATATCTTGACCTGGGATGTACGTGCACATGGCGGCAGGTGTTATTCTTTGGCGAGCGCTTCTGCTACCACCTCCTGTGGCGACTGCACTGGCTGCGCTGGCTGCGCTTGCGGCGGCTCGAGCTGTAGCTGAGGCGACTGCAGCTGTTGGACATCGTGCAGCTGCTGGGTATCAGGTTCGCTGCGACGGCTGGTCATCGCCGGCTCGTTCCGCGAGGTGGCCAGCTGCTGGCGGAGGAAGCCCACTTCCTCGCTGAGTTGCGCCATCTTGGTATCCTGGTACAAAACCTGACTTTCCAGGGCTGACTTGGCAGCCTCGAGGCCGGCCGTGCGTTCCAGGAGCTGCTTTATCATCGCCTCCCACTTGGCGTCCACCGAGTGGATGTAGGCCCAGAGGCCGTCGTCGCCCGAGGCAAACAGGTTTGCCGAGTTGTCTCCGCTGCCGCCGTTCTGGCTGTGGCCCAGGCCGCTGGATGCTCTAGAGTGCGCACCCGTTGCGGCCTGGTGGTTGACGCCGCCAGATGGTGGCGCGGACCCGATAGCGGTGGATGCAGGGGCGCCTACTTGTGTCGGGGTTGAACTAATGTGAGCGACTGTGTGTGGCATTTCTGTGTTGAAGTATAACGGCGTACCTTGAGCGCTACCAGGTTCTTGCCGCCGGCCGTACGCCTGGGCCATCTGGGCCGTGGTACTGGGTGAGCGTTGGTTGCTCGAGTTGGCTTGCGCCGCCTCGTGGCCAAGCTGGGCGGCAAGAGCGCTTCCCGGGCTGAGCGCTTTGGGGCTTTCGGTCATGGCTTCAAGATTGGCAGATGAGCTTCCTGGACCTAGCTCGAGAGCGCCTGAAGGGGTGTGATCCGACGTTGAATAGTCTTGCGGGCTTCCGCCACTACTCGGTGTGGGACCGAATGTTGCCACAACTGCGCTGGCGGTCGTGGCGTCCGAGAGAAGCGCAGGACTAGGAAAGACAAAGTAAAATTCGGACTCGGGTGAATACAAACCTCCAGTGGTTCCCTGCCTCGCCATGGCTGACGGATACGCCCGTGCGTGAGCGCCGAAGCCGTCGGGGGCGGATGCGACGGGGTGTTGGGCTTTGACTCCGGCCGACAGGCTGAGGCGCCTCCGGTCCTCCTCTGTCATGTCCGCCTCGCCCGTGTCGTACAAGACGCCCGACATTACGCTGTCGTCGCCCTCGGGGACTGCCGATTCGTCGTATTCCTCGGCGCCGAAGCTGCCCATGCTGGCGCGCCGGCCGGCGCAGCCACCGGCTCCCTTGGCGTGGCGAGCCAGGGCGTCGCCGCGCGCAAACTTGCGGTCGCATTTGGGGCAGATGTGCGGCTTCTCACCAGTATGCAGCTTGCTGTGCCGCTTCAGGTCGTGCAGGCGGCGGAAGCGCATCTGACATGTGTCGCAGGCGTATGGCTTCTCCTGGCTGTGCGTGAGGAGATGGCTCTTGAGGTTGTGGTGGCGAGTGAAGACCGTGTCGCAGCAAGGGCACTTGTGCTTCTTGGATGAGGGCGAGCGCGGCACGGCATCAGGATGCTGAGACGACGTCATCGGAAGGCTCATGCCGCGTTGCGGAGGCGCTGGCGCGCCCATGGAAACGTTGGGTGGCAGGATGCCGGGGTATGAGTAGGCCGTGTTCTTGTCCTGCGTCTGGGCGTCGGGCTGGGCGATGAAGCTGCCCTGAGGTTGGTCGTTCCGCTGATCGATATCCATGGGAGCAGGGCTGTCGACGACTTGTGCCGTAGTGCCGTCCAGGGGCTGGCTCGTCGGCAGGGCACCCGCGCTCGCTTCGGTCGGGGGCTCTGGCTTCGGGAGCGCCTGAGGCGCCGGCGCGACGACCTCGGTGGTTGGTTTACTGTTGATCAAGCCGGGCGACGTTGGCGGGGCGGCCGCGGGTGCGGGCGCGTCGGGGACATCCTGCGCACGGCTCATGGCCATAGTGGCCGACATGAGGACGTCCAGCACCCTATGGCTCGGATTGTCGCTGATGCCAGCCGCCTGCCTGGCCTCCTCGGCTTTGCGAATGCGCTCCTCCTCGTCGGCCAGGGCGCCGGTCAGCGGCGCGGGGGAATGTCTTGACGCCAGCCCGAGCCGCTGGACCTTGGACGGCGAGAGGTCGGGGTTGGCGACGACGGCGGCGGCGGAAGGAGGCGAGGTCGGTGTGGCCTCGCGCGGCCTCTTGAGCGAGCCTGGCCGCGGGGCTTCGGACGCGAAGAGGTCGGCGGCGCTTATTGCAGCAGCGGCGGCGGCAGCGGCGGCAGACTGGGTCGCCGGAGGGGTCGCCAAGGGGGCTTCCATCGCGACGGGGCCCTTTTCTGAAGCCATGGCGGTAGCGCGGTGCCGTGACGCGATTGGGATTGATCGCGGAGGGCTGTAGCAGACAGGCTATGGCGCGCAGCAGCAGCAGGCAACGGGCACTACAGTCAGGCTCCTTGGACCCGTCGCCGCGCGATTCGCATCGTTCGGCGACGGACAGATGGGGATGTGGCTGGAGCCGTGGCGAGAGTCGTGACGGAACGGAGCCAGTGTGCAATGCGCTTGCCGATGGCGAGCACGCTCTCGAGACGGGGTTGATGCAGCGGGGTTCACGGGGATGCCACGAGGCCAGCGATGGCCGGGCCTGTGCAATTTGCAGGATTTGGGAGTCTCCGCGCCGTCCGGGGGTTCCGCGAGGTGCAGGCCTGGGTGTCTGCAGGGTCGAGTGTGGATGAGGCAGCAGAGAGGCTGAGAATATCGAGGCAGGAACAGAGGGGGCAGTTAGACGAAAAAGCCTGCTGCGCCTCCGAAGCACAAGTGGGTCCTCCGGCGGTGGGAATGCGCAGGCCCACACTTTTGCTGTGGCTAGGCTGCACTTCTGTCCAGCTACACAGTCTCCTGTTCTGCTGTACATAATCCGTCCGCCGCCGTCCCCGCCGCGCCTCCAGCTCCAGGTCGGTACCTTGAGACCTCGAGACCTTGAGACCTTGAGCATCTACCCCTTGCTCGAGGTAGGTACCTCGCTGACAATGGTGACGGCAGCTCCAGGGAGGCGCGTGTTACCGTCTGTTTCCGGCTGAGCACCACCCATACTGTGTGAATACAGAGCTGTGGGTGGATGGAGGATGAGCATTTTACACATGCGGGCGCGCCGTCGACCGCCGCAGTCAGTCGAGGCGCCAACAGAGCCCGCCTGGCAAATGTGGCCAGGCAGCTCCCAGCCACCGCCTTCCAGTGACGTCTGTCTGCCCATAACACACCTTTCCCGACGCGTTACCGCGTTACCTGCCGGCGGGGCTGTGTCTCAAGCTGACCATGCCGCCTACGCCAAAGCAGCCAGTGTAACGGTAGGTTACTGTCTAGCCCGTCGTATCTCGAGTCGCTGGCTGAGCTCAGGGGATGTTCTCGACGGTGCAACCAATCACTCGACACCAAACTCCCCGCTGCCGTTGGTGTGTGTAAGGGCGGAGCGGCCGACTTTGTCTGACAGGAATTGTGACGGCCCCCATTTGACCCAATCTCCTATGGCGTCATTCCCTCACGCAGACGGAACCCATACCGCTCGATACGCGCTTCTGGTTGCTGGAGGGGGTGTGGGGGAGCGGTCGTCCCGAGCAGCCTGGGCGACACTGGAGAGCCAGAGGCCTCTGCTCGGTGCTTCAAATACATGACCTCCTCTTGATCGCAGCCCGAACCTGCGCGTGTGAATGGGCGAGCGTGCAAGCTGAGCCAACACCTTTGAGCCACCTATCACGACGCAGAGATCGGGATCGGGATGCCTTCCAGCCCTTGCGGCGACCCAACCGCCAAGTGTGATTTCATTGGCTGGTGTGATGCAGGTCTATTCTGCCGAGGTGTTCTTGCACGAAGAGGCTGGTGCTCAAAACAGGCAGCTCTCTATCTGTCTGTGGCTTCGGGGCTTCGAAGTTGGAGAGGCTTCTCCTTTGGTGCCCATAATTCCCCATTTGCCGCAGCTTCTTTGTCGTGTCGAAAGGAGGGTTGTGTGCACCCCGCCTGTCCTCTCAATTAGGATCTCCCCATCACTTATGCGCCACCGTCGTGGCAACGGGTTCGCTGGCACTGAGGGTGTTGAAATCGATCAAGTAGTAGCACAACACGACAGGAGTTTGCAGACCCGGCAGCCGAGGGGGAGAAGGGGAAACGCAAGATGCTCTGATTCCATAACAACCCTTCAGGACGGCTTTCTGATGCTCGCCGACACACAACCCGATCCAAGGCCACGCCGTCTTTCTGCAAAGCTCCTGCCAAGGGTTTACCATCTTGGCTCCAATCTCCTTGCCAGCCACCTACTAGGTAGGTAGCGCAGACGCCTGCCTCGCTCTCTTCGCTGCGACTCTGCCAGAGTTGGGCAGGATACCATCGCCAACACAACAGCCAAGCAGCCGGAGAAAGGGGTAATTGGCGCCGAGACCAAATGGGGTGGGCCGCAAACAGCGCCTTTGAGCACACAGCCACACCACCCCACACCGTAAATAGCAGGGGAAATGGATCTTTATCGGCGGCAGTCAGACCAGGAACGCTCCCGCCCAGAAGCCGCCAAAAGAGCTGGATCCACCCCCGAAAAAGGGGGGCGTTTAAGCTAGGACGGGAGAAAGCAAAGGCCCATTCAAGGTGACCGGATGGCGCATGCGATAGAGAAGGCGCGCCCGTCTAGACTATCGCCAGAGCCAAAACGGCAGAAAGAAGAGAAAGAGGGCAACGAAAGGGGTTAGACCGTCTCCGCTGGTCAAAGATCACGGGTCACGCCAGACTGGAACGGAAGGGAAGAGCACGATGCCGCCGTTCACGATTGAGGTCTCTTAGTGTTGCATGCCAGTCTCGAGTTGGGCGGGCAAAGCACCAGTCCGCTTCCTTGGAAGCACTCAAAAGGCACAACAAGACCCTCGTCGGGCCAAGAGCATCCCGCGCTGGCTTTTATCTCGTAATTGGCCTCATCAATCCATACCCACAAACGGCACATCGTAGGCTCACCTCATTTCATTTGGTTGGATAGCGGCAAGAGCTCCTGGGCAAGAGACCCCTGTCAGGCGCCTCCCCTGCCCAGCCGGGGCGCAATTTCGCTAATTCAAAGCAGGTTCTCATGGTGGCCAGCGCGCCCTTCTAGCTTGATCAAAACTCCCTTCCCGACCGCCGTCTGCACATCCACTCTGGACCTCTTCACCACACCACGCTGCTCACCCAACAGAGGTTTCCCTCTATCACGCTCTTTTGAGACCGCGGACAGGCCAACCAACTATTACGCTCTTTTTCTCTACCAGTCTCGACGCTCGTTTTCTCACTTCGTTGCAAGGACAGGGCCGTCATCTCGTCCTTTTCCAAGGTAAGCCGTGCCGCCGCAACGGGCTCGCCCTGATGTCCATGCCCTTGCCTGATGTGTGGTTGTCGAGGTGTGGGCTCGCTGTACTGGACTGGGTCCCCTTTTCCGCCTTCGCACACCGCTAACATGAGTTATCTGGGAAGATCTTTGTGACAAGAACCTGTGGCTCTGACACAGCAGCCTTATCGACTCGTCCGATATTGGATCACCTCGAATCAGAATCCCTAATTCACACCCTACCTTCGCAATGAAGGGGATCACGCAGTTCGCCCTCGCGGCCTCCCTGGTTGCAGGAACCCAGGCCTCGCACCAGCACCACCGCCACCACCACGCTAAGCGCGTGATCGAGAACCTCGAGAAGCGCACTCCCGAGGTCGTCACCACCTATGTCGAGGGCCCCGTCGTTGCCGTGTACGAGCTCGACGGTAAGGTCGTCGAGGAGGGGAAGGCCAAGGCTGGTCTTGCCGACGGTCTTTACTCGGTTATCGGCGAGACCACACCGACCTTCACCCCGCCGCCGCCTCCCCCGCCCAAGACCACTTCGGCGAAGCCCACCACCTCGTCCACCTCGCAGGCGGCGCAGTTCTTCGAGCAAAAGGCCTCGCCGTCTCCCGAGCCCAAGACGAGCGCCCCGGCTCCCGTCTCGTCGAGCCCCAGCGTTGGTTCCGGCTCTGGCTCTGGCTCGGGTGCCACTGGCCTCGATGCCGACTTCCCCAGCGGCAAGCTTGACTGCAGCTCCCTCCCAACCCAGTACGGTGCCCAGTCCGTCCCTTGGCTCGGCCTGGACGGCTGGCTCAGCTTCCAGCAGCCCGACGACAAGAAGTGGATCCCCGGTGTTATGATCAACACCATCCACCAGCCCATCTCGGGTGGTTGCCCCAAGGGCGCCTTCTGCGCGTATGCCTGCCCCAACGGCTACCAGAAGACGCAGTGGCCCACGTCGTCGCAGGGGTCCACCGGCCAGTCTATTGGTGGTCTGTGGTGTAACGAGAACGGCAAGCTTGAGCTTACCCGCCCTGAGTTCCCCCAGCTGTGCCAGAAGGGTGCCGGCGGCGTCTTTGTCCAGAACAAACTCGATGACGTGGCCAACGTCTGCCAGACCAACTACCCCGGTGACGAGAAGATGTCGATTGCCACCGAGACCAAGCCGGGCGGCAAGTACGAGCTCATGAACCCGGACGCGAAGACGTCGTACTGGTGGAAGAACTCCCCGACCAGCGCTCAGTACTACCTCAACAACGAGGGTGTCGACGTCGAGAACTCTTGCACCTGGAAGAGCTCCAAGTACCCCGACTCTGCCGGAAACTGGTCCCCTGCCAACCTCGGCGTCGGCAAGGACATCCACGGCATCACCTACATCTCCATCTTCTGGAACCAACCTACCAGCAGCGCCAAGCTCAACTACAACGTCGAGATCACGGGAGACGTCACCGCCCCCTGCGCGCTGAAGGACGGAAAATTCACCGGCGGCGGCAACGGCTGCACTGTAAGTAACGAGTCGAGGAAGCCGCGGTTTGAAGTACAGAGACGACAAATACTAACCATATGTTTCACACACAGACCGCCATTAGCAAGCCCGGCGGTACCGTCACCGTTGTCTTCAGCAAATAAGCCCCTCTTGGAGGTGGCCCGGCCGTCCTGTGTTGTCTGTGGATGTCTTACTCCTTAGTTTCTTGGTATATCTCGGTGGCATTAGTTGCTTCATCCGCTCTCCCTTTATCGAAACTGTCCTCGGCACACACTTGCGGCTGAAGCCGAGGCGGGGGAGTGGCTCCTTTCCTAAGTCTATTATAATTAGCTGTGCATCCCTTGTATCCTGCATTGGTGATGTCATGGGTTGTATGAGGTCTGGGGTTGATGGAACCCGTGGAGCGTGCTCTCTCGACGTCTCGGGTTGCCGCATTGTACCGCCCACCCTAACCGCAGCCCCTGGATTTTTCGGATTCGGGTGTTTTGGAAGAAGTCGGCTGGTTGCGCGGTCGGAGCCGTGGGTTGTTCTCACTCGCATCGCCCTGCTCTCCCCAACCCTGTGTCCCTGTAGGGTCGCCAAGGTGCTTATTTACCTAGTTGCTAATTGTCATTTGCTCGTCCAAAAGCATTCTTCTCGATATTGTGCAGGGAGCTGGGGTTTGCCCATGCGAGAGCTCCTTTTGTCTATAGCACCTGCTTCGAACTCTCCACAAACTTAAATATGTATCCGAGTACCACCTACGTACATACCTACCTATTTAATCAAATGCTGTACCGACGGAGATGCGCCCTACTTGTCCCACCACGTAGTGTGACTGGTGAGATTTTTCGGCAGAATGCATGCAATTCTTCAATTGGCCCGCTGGGTGTGAATGAATGATGGTTTGACAGGCGGGGGCGCTTTGGGCGAACTCGGATTTCACAGTGTGGCTGACGGCTCGATTGGAACACCTGTCGCAGTGGCGAGCCTCAAAGGGGTGGTCCGGCAGAGCGGGCGGCGGGCTGAGGACAGCGCACAGTGTGCAGGAGTCGGGTGAGTCGGCCACAGCACAGGCTCCATACACTTGCAGCACAGCTCCCAAGCTCCCAAGCCGCGCGTTGCTGCTATCAAACACCATCCAGGTCGCAGCCTGTCAGTCCTGAGACGGCTGGAATCCGACAATAGCATCATCGCCTCCTTCCACACATCCCTTCTATCCTCTTCTTTTCCACACACTCTCTCCCACTCACCCACCTTGCGCACCGGTTTCCGCGCTGCGCCGGGAATCGACCACCCCACATCAGCTACCTGTCCCCCTCTGCGCCGCCTGCTATCCCGCCCAGCCGCGGTCGCCCGCTTCATGAGCGTCCCTACATCGCAGCCGCAACAACCATGAGGGGGGCACGGGGGGCACTACAGGCCGTGGTCCTGTTGGCGGCGCTCTTGATGAGACCTCTCCTAGCAACAGCAGCCGACGGCCCGACGTTCCACAAGACGGCGCTCGAGCACCCCCCATACAACCTGAACTATTTCGAGGACTCGGATGTGGTCCTGTTCCAGGATGAGCGCAGCGGCACCATCTTCCGCAGCGACGATGCCGGCTCGACCTGGCACCCGGTCAAGGACATCGAGGCCGGCAGGGCCGTCCAGCTTGTCATGCACGCATACGACCCCCAGCGAGCCTTTGTACTGACCGATGGCATTCACCACTACAAGACCACAGACCGCGGAAAATCGTGGCAGTCGTTCCTGGCCGACACCGAGATGAGCATCTACCGCGGCGAGGTGCTCAACTTCCATGCCGGCGACCCGGACAGCATCATCTTCAACGGCATGGACTGCCGCAAGTCGCTGTTTTGCGAAGAGGTCGCCATGTACACCACCGACGGCTTCCGCTCCGACGCAAAGTTCCTGCGCGGCTCCACCAGGGGATGCTGGTGGGCAAAGTCCTCCAAGATGTTCGCGACGGGCGACGACGAGATGGACAAGCAGCGCGCCCTCTGCATCGTCGCCGACGCACTGTCCATGTACAAGCAGGATCAGCGCCTCCTGGTCTCAGACAACTACTTCAGCGCCGCCAAGGCCGACGGCGTCATCCAGGAGTTCGAGCCCAATCTAGACACGAACCAGCCGGTCCAGGGTATCATCAACGTCGCCGCCGTCAAGAAGTTTCTGCTCGTGGCCGCCAACTCCAAAAACACGGACGAGATGGCGCTGTTCGTCACCGACGACGCCAAAAAATGGCACAGAGCCGTCTTTCCCACCGACCACAAGCTCAACCAGGAGGCGTACACGGTGCTCGAAAGCACAAACTACAGCATCCAGATAGACGTCATGACGACGCACCGCTCGAACCCCATGGGCGTCCTGCTTACTAGCAACTCCAACGGCACTTATTTCACCCGCAACATGGAGCACACGAACCGCAACCACCGCGGCCACGTCGACTTTGAAAAGATCTCGGGCATCCAGGGAGTCTTCCTCGTGAACAAGGTTGCCAATGCGGACGAGGTCGCAAAGGACCGCAGCGTGAAGAAGAAGGTCGTGACCGAGATCACGTTTGACGACGGCAGGACCTTCGAATCCGTCACGGCCGACAAGGAGAAGCTCCACCTGCACTCGGTCACCGATCTCGACAACGTCGGCCGCGTCTTCTCCAGCCCGGCTCCGGGCCTGGTCATGGCCAACGGCAACACAGGCGACCACCTGGGGAAGCTCGAGGACTCGAGCCTGTACATATCGGACAACGCCGGCGTGTCATGGATCAAGGGCCCCAAGGGTCCTCACAAGTACGAGTTTGGCGATCAGGGTTCCGTTCTGGTGGCTGTCCGAGACGGCGATCACGTCGACGAGATCACCTACTCGCTCAACCACGGCAAGGACTGGAAGACGGCCAAGCTGCCCGACGGCATCAAGCTCAATCCGGGCTTTTTGACCACAACCCAGGACTCTACGAGCCTCAAGTTCATCCTTGTGGGACAGGATAGCTCGCGCAAGTTTTACATCATCGCCATCGACTTTGACGGCCTGCACGAAGCAACCTGCAAAGATGGCGACATGGAAGAGTGGTTCGCCAGGGTCGACGACAAGGGCAAGCCGACATGCATCATGGGCCACACTCAAAAGTACCGCCGGCGGAAGAAGGATGCCGAGTGTTTCATCAAGCAGGAGTTCAAGGACCCCGTCGCGGAGATGACGCAGTGCGACTGTGCTGACCAGGACTTTGAATGCGACTACAACTTCAAGCGAAATGGCGACAAGTGCGAGGCCAGCGGGCCGGTGGCCGCCCCCAAGGACGCATGCAAGAACGCCAAGCCGGATGACGTGTTCAAGGGGTCGTCGGGCTGGCGCAAGATTCCCGGTGACGACTGCAAGAGGGTGGACGGGAAGCAAAAGGACGAGCAGGTCGAGCACAAGTGCAAAGACTCGACGGCGCCTCCTGTGTCGAAGCCGAGCGGCAAGATCAAGTCTACCAAGGGGGACTTTGAGGGGGAATTCACCACCTTTGAGAAGTACTATCTGGAGAAGGGCGACGATAGCCAGGACACGGACGAGACTATCGTTGCCAGGCCACTCAACATGGAGAACAGGAAGGGCGGTCCGGTCTTTTTGACTACCGACCATGGCAAGACTTGGAAGCAGCCTGCGGCGCTCAAGGGCGAGGGTTTCTGGACCATCTTGAGGCACCATTACTTCAAGGAGATGGCATTCTTCATCAAGGAGTCGGGCGAGGTGACGTACACGGCCGACCGCGGTCTTCACTTCCACGAGTTCAAGGCACCGAACCCGGTCGACACCACGCTTGGTAACTCTCCGCTGGTCTTCCACCCGGACAGGAAGGACTGGCTGATCTGGCTCGGTAAGAAGTGCGAGAAGAAGACCAAGGAGTGCTACATTGAGGCTTCCCTGTCAGAGGACCGAGGGGACAACTGGAAATCGATCAAGCGTTACGCACAAAGGTGCGAATTCACGGGGGCGAGCCAGTACCGCTGGCGCGACAACCGACAGATCCTGTGCCTGGTCAAGTCGCGCGAGGGCTCAGAGGCTAGCATCCCGCTCGACCTCATGTGGAGCGACGACTTCTTCAAGGAGGACAAGGTGGTGCAGAAGAACGTCAAGGACTTTGCGACCATGGCCGAGTTCATCGTGGCGGCGGCCGAAGTCAAGCTGGACAAGGACAAGGACCAGACGACGCTGCAGGCGTTTGCGAGTCTGGACGGCAAGACGTATGCGGCGACAAAGTTCCCATACAACTTTGAGCAGACGCACTCAAGCGCCGTGACGGTACTCGACAGCTCGACGCACGCCGTTAACATGTTCGTTCCCACGGTAGCTAAGTCGAACCACAAGTACGGCACCATCATCAAGAGCAACTCCAACGGCACTGAGTACGTTGTGAGCATTTCGGGCGTAAACTGCGACGATCAGTACTACGTCGACTTTGAGAAGATGCTCGGTCTCGAGGGAGTCGCCCTGGTCAACGTGGTGGCCAACCGAGACAAGGTGGACGAGCCCAAGAAGAAGCAGACCAAGATCACGCACAACGACGGCGCCATGTGGGGCTTCCTGCCGCCGCCCAAGAAGGATGCCGAGGGCAAGAACTTCGCTTGCCGGAGTGACAAGGGCGACGAAGGCTGCGCGCTGCACCTCCACGGCTACACGGAGCGCCAAGACCGCCAGAAGACGTACTCGTCGGCGGGCGCGGTTGGTCTCATGCTCGGCATCGGCAACGTAGGCCCGTCGCTTAGCGACGTTAAGAGCGCCGACACTTTTATGACGGCGGACGCCGGCATCTCGTGGACCAATGTCAAGAAGGGCGCCTGGTCGTGGGCGTTTGGAGACCGGGGTTCCATCGTCGTGCTCGTGCCGAAGAAGAAGACCAAGACGGTGTCGTACTCGACGGACGAAGGACGGACGTGGGCTGACTACGAGTTTACGTCGGAGGAGGTCGAGGTCGAGGACATCTCGACGCTCAACTCGGGCGGCTCCAGGAACTTCCTGCTGTGGTGCAAGAAGGGCAAATCAGTCTTCACGGTCAACCTCGACTTCACAGGCCTTAGCAGCGAGGTCTGCAAGTACGACGAGAAGGACGACAGCAAGAGTGACTACTACCTCTGGAAGGCCAGCCACCCGCTGCAGCAGGACGTTTACTGCCTGTTTGGCCACAAGTCGTCGTACCTGCGCAAGAAGACAGACCGGTCCTGCTACAACGGGAACAAGATCCAGCAGTTGCGCAATATCGAGATCTGCGAGTGCACGCGCCAGGACTTTGAATGGTAAGCACTTTTTTTTCTTCATGAGAGGAATCCTTTTGGTGTCATTTTAGCTAACCCACCCCGGCATATATGCAGCGACTTCAACTTCGAGCTCGGAAAGCAAAATGGTTGCCAGCTTGTGCCTGGCTTCCAACCAATGAGCAAGGAAGAATGGTGCACCAAGTACCCGGGTGAGGACGAGTGGTTTGAACCGACGGGCTACCGGCGCATCCCTCTGAGCACGTGCAAAGGGGGCAGGGATCTGGAGAACAGCACGACATCGCACGCGTGCCCAGGACACGAGAAGGAATACGAACAGCGGCACCCGGGGCCCGGCGGCTTCGTCATCTTCCTCATTATACTACTTTCGTTCGGCGGCGCGGGTGCGGTCGGCTGGTGGGTGTTCCAGCGCTGGGAAGCCGGGGGCAGCTTTGGGCAGATCCGGCTGGGCGAGCACCCGTCGGGCGGCGGTCTGCTGGACGCGGACAGCCCCTGGGTCCGGTACCCGGTCGTGGCCGTGTCGGCGACAGTGGCTCTCGTCGGGGCGCTGCCAATGGTGGCGTCGGCCCTGTGGCGGACGGCGACGAGCGCGGCCGAGCGCTGGGGCTTCCCGGGCGGCGCGGGCAGGGGCGCGTACGGAGCCCTGGGTCTAGGCGGCGGGGGAGGCGGCGGGCCCAGGAGGTTCACGACACGGGACAGCTTCGCGCGGGGCACGGGCGACTACGCCGGCCTCGACGAGGACGAGGGCGAGCTCCTCGGGGAAGATAGCGACGAGGAGATATGAGAGCAGTCGGGCGTGCCTGTCTGTCTGTCTGTCTGTCTGTCTCTCTCTCTCTCTCTCTC